TGCAGCATCTTCCAGCAAACATTTCCTCCAGTTCTTTCTTGGACGGCCCCTAGATCTTCTCCCATGGGCAGGGGTCCAGTTAAGCAGGTACTTAGGAAGCCTAGTGTCTGGCATTCTGGTGACATGGCCAAACCAACGCAGGCGGTTTGCTCCTATGTACGTCTCTACTGGATTTATCTTTGCACGCTCCAGCACTTCAGTGTTTCTAACCCGATCAAGCCATCTTATCCTAAGTATTCTCCCCAAGCAACGCTGATGGAACACCTCAAAGCGATGTAGCTGCTTTTTTGTTGTGTTCCAAACCTCACTACCATATAACAATATTGTCAAAACCGCTGCCTTATAAATCCTGATCTTTGTATAAGACTGGATGTTGCGGTTTTTCCATATATTACTCAGTTGATTGAAGGCTCCGGAAGCTTTCTGAATCCTAGCTGACAGCTCACGGTCGATAGTACCGTCGCTGGAAATAATTGTACCTAAGTACGTAAAGTCACTAACTTGCTGCACTGGCGTGTCTTCAACAGTGATGTTCACTGTGGCTTCTTTCGTGTATGGCCGTTGAGAGGTTGCTTAACCAATGACCATAGCCTCAGTCTTTTTACCATTGATTCTAAGACCTCCCTGGGCACCATACATACACAAAAGGTCAGTTGTTTCTTGAAGACCTTCCTCGCTGTTATCCAGTACAGCCATGTCATCTGCATAATCTGTATCTAACACAGTGATATCACCAACAAGCGGACTGATAGATCTTTGAAGAACCGCTCCGTGGGACACCACTTTGTTGCTTTCTGTTCTCTCAGCAGCCACATTGAGGCAGACATTAAAAAGTGGGGGACCCTGAATGTCTCCTTGGCCACTGCCTGAACTTACTTCAAACCATTCTGATAGTTCACGATTGTGTCTAACAGCACTAACAGTTCCATTAAAGAATGCCTGTATTATTCGAATGTATTTACATGGCAGGCCATAATGACTGAAAGCTTTCCAAATATAATTCCTGTCGATGGAATCAAAAGCTGCTTTGAAGTCCACAAAATTTACATACAGGGGGAGATTATATTCAATGCAGTTATGTATAATAGTGCGGAGTGAATAAATCTGATCAATGCATGATCTGTTCTTTCTAAACCCACACTGATTGTCTCGTAGCAAACTTTCTAAACCGTCACTCATGCGTTGTAATATGATGATTTGATACAGTTTAGATGCTGTAGATCTTAGAGTGATCCCCCTATTATTGGAGCAATGAGAGGTATCACCCTTCTTTGGTACAATTATCACGATGCCTTTCAACCAGTCGTCAGGCACTGCTTCTGAATTCCAAACTTTAGAGAACAATTTCTCCATCCTATCCACAAGACCACTTGCCCCATACTTTAACTGCTCATTAGAGATTTCGTCAATCCCAGCACTTTTGTGGTTCTTCAATTTTTTGAGACAGTTTAAAATCTCAAGTCTAGTGGGGGGACCATCACCATCACCAAGATAGGGAAAGCATGGAACCACTTCAAGTTGGTCCAGGTCAGACATATCCGCATTCGTGGGAGGAGGGTTTAATAGCTCCGAAAAATGTTCTCCCCATCTCTCTCTCTGAGCAGAGGGATCAGCAATCAACTTCCCGGATTTGTCTCTAACAGCAGTTGATTTTCGATTCTTCTTACCGGACAGTGTTTTTATCCGTTGCCAGACTTCCCTTTGCCGGCCATGGACAGCAGCTGTTTCCAGATCTGCTGCAACTCTAAGAGCCCAATTCTCGTCGTCTTTCCTGCAGCTCTTTTTGACAAGTTTGTTGGCCCGAGAATACTCACTCCTATTGTTGTTGTCACTAGGCGCCATCTGTTTAATCTTACTGCGTTCTGCAATAAGGCTTTTTGTCTCCTGAGACAAATGCTGTTGCCTTCTGCGCCGGGGGCGCTCACCCAGTACCTCCATAGACACTTCTTTAATAGTATCCTTAACTAATGTCCATTCTCCATCAAGATTCTCCTCCATTGGTAGGCAGCTAAAACGATTTTGAAGAGCAATGCAGTACTCTTCAACCTTGGACTGATCTCTAAGATTCTCAATTGCTGGAGATATCCTACGAGAGGCGTTCATTTTTTGAACTGCCATAAGTTTGACTCTAAATTGACCCCGTACCAAATAATGATCGGAGCCACCCGCTACTTCCTCAAAACAACTATTCAGCCTCTATTCTCTTGATATCTGTATATATCTACTAACTAAGTCCTAAAAACGACCAACTCTAATCTTATTGTCAGCACCCTGTTAATCAGAAAAACAACCCATTAGTATAGCCTTGCAAACATCCACTACTACTAGAAGCACCCAAACACTGATACTGATATCAACCAATTACCACAAGCTAAGGAAGCAAGAACAACTCATGATGAGACCTGCCAGCAGCGAACTACAACTACTCCTAAAAACCATCCAGTGCAGCAGCGAACTACAACTACTCCTAAAAACCATCTAGTGCAGCAGCGAACTACAACTACTCCTAAAAACCATCCAGTGAAGCAGCGAACTACAACTACTCCCGAAAACATCCAGTGCAGCAGCGAACTACAACTACTCCTAAAAACTATCCGTGCAGCAGCGAACTACAACTACTCCTAAAAACTATCAGTGCAGCAGCGAACTACAACTACTCCTTAAAACATCCAGTGCAGCAGCGAACTACAACTACTCCTAAAAACCATCTAATGCAGCAGCGAACTACAACTACTCCTAAAAACTATCAGTGCAGCAGCGAACTACTACTACTCCTAAAAACCATCCAGTGCAGCAGCGAACTACAACTACTCCTTAACAACATCCAGTGCAGTAGCGAACTACAACTACTCCTAAAAACCATCCAGTGCAGCAGCGAACTACAACTACTCCTAAAAACCATCCAGTGCAGCAGCGAACTACAAGTACAACTACTCCTAAAAACTATCAGTGCAGCAGCGAACTACAACTACTCCTAAAAACCATCTAGTGCAGCAGCGAACTACAACTACTCCTAAAAACCATCCAGTTCAGCAGCGAACTACAACTACTCCTAAAAACTATCAGTTCCCAGTCCTCTCAAATTTTCCTTCTCCTAAAAACAACCACATTCCAGTCCTACAGTCATCAATTACCATGAGTTCGATCACGATTCACGCGGCTGCTTTTTCGATGAGCAGGTATATGTTTGTGGTTTAGTAGTGTTGGGACCGTTGCCGATTTTCTGATTTTCCTCGCGCGCGCAGGAAGGGACATGTGGCAAGAATAATGTTTTTAATTTTATCTTAAACCTAATTGATTTCTATTTTAACGTTAATTATTAAATGCACACGTTACAAACTAATCTGCTTCGGAAAATTTCTCTTTTGTCTCAAACTTTTCAGCCAAAGCTAGTTTAACTTCAATTAAAATCTCCGACAATTATTACATGACTAAATGTGACGTGCGCAAATAGGTATGCAATACTTGTTGATCACAAGTCGTTTTCGTTTTATTAAGTTTTGGTTTTATTATTATTAAGAAGTTTATGCTAATCTACTGTTTAATTTCTAAGAAAAATATTTTTTAGTAACGATCGATTCCAGATCACGTGTAAAAAAAGAGCAGCGGTCCCAAAATAAATTCTAAAATATATCCTTGTGGCACAGCAATATCTAAATAAAATCCATGTCTCTTAGTTCACCTTTACTTTAAAGGCGTTCTACGGACACTGCGCGCATATAAGCATATATATTAGACATATTGTAAGCCATATCTAGGCCAAATGTCAGCCATCCTTTATAATTGCCTATTATACCATATTAGACAGTGTATATATAGTTATATATAATGTCTTGCTTGTAGTTGGTCTGGTCTCCTGAAGTTTATAGCATGTAATACGCCGCACTCTCAATTACCTGCTCGTGATAGCTAATGTTAACGTTGTTAATGATGATATCCGTATTTTGTTCTACCCGTTTGTGTGTGTCTACAAAGTCTCGATAGCTCTGTGATTTTGGAGTCCTGCTACAGCGAAATGGCTCCCATGACACTAGATATAAAATAGAATATAATTCAATTCAATCTCATTGTAAAAACAAAATGCTTATAGTTTTGTTGGATTACTACAAAGTGTAAGCGCACAATGTTAAACAGTCAAGGCACGTACTGCAGTACTAGTGCTATACTTAAAACCTGTTATCAAAACCGGAGCTCCCTTTGCGAGGGTAATGTTGTTAACAGTGTGAAAGTGTATGCTATTATAGCACACTTTTATATCCTATACTCTGGGGTGTTAATCGATGGGGTGTCATTCACAACTTTACATTGTCCGTATGTGCTTGTACTGAATAGCTTCGCTGTGGTTAGTTCTGTCATGGCTTGTAGCCAGTAACCACACTGTGGTTAGTTCTGTTCTGGCTTGTACTGAATAGCTTCGCTGTTGTTAGTTCTGTTCTGACTTGTAGCAAGTAACAACACTGTTGTTAGTTCTGTTCTGGCTTGTAGCCAGTAACAACACTGTTGTTAGTTCTGTTCTGGCTTGTAGCCAGTAACCACACTGTGGTTAGTTCTGTTCTGGCTTGTAGCCAGTAACCACACTGTGGTTAGTTCTGTTCTGGCTTGTACTGAAAAGCTTCGCTGTGGTTAGTTCTGTTCTAGCTTGTAGCCAGTAATCACACTATGCTATGGTTAGTTCTGTTCTGGCTTGTAGTCAGTAACTACACTGTGGTTAGTTCTGTTATGGCTTGTAGCAAGTAACCACACTGGTTAGTTCTGTTATGGCTTGTAGCAAGTAACCACACTGTGGTTAGTTCTGTTCTGGCTTCTAGCCAGTAACTATACCGTGATTGTTGGAATGAAAGTCATATTATATTATACAAAGATATATTAAATAGAAAGAAACTTGTTGGATTATTTGCCAATAGGAGTGTTGATTGTGAGAATGTTCATCAGTAAGTAAGTAGGTACAGCCTTGCTGAATTCCTTGTTGTTTTGTTTTAATCGTTACAAATACATCGCAGCTATGAAGACTGCTTTAACGATACTAATAGTGGTGATCATAAATCTACAGATCCTAACCATAGGTACGATTAATTTAATTTCAAATCTGGAATTTTAGCTTGAAACTTGAAGCAAATTATTCCTCTGAACTGAAACTAGTAATGTTATAAAGTTAATTTAAATAATAGTCTGCCCCAATCATGCTCATCACCAGCTCAACAAACCCAGTCATCTAGGCCATCTGATTGTAAAACCTTCTAAGAGGATAATTCTACATTAATTATACATCTTGAATTGTCAGGCAACTCGGTGTAAATTATAGTACAGTAACCTTGTAAATTACTGGTGTAAGCCAATGTTATATACTGTACAGTACGCTGTTGAACGACGAAACCTGAGAGCACCTAAAGGCTACAAATTTAGCGAATCTTTCGGCATAGTTGTGGTGTTTTTTGCCCCCAAATCTGCCGCACATAAAACAGTTTTAGGCAGGTGCGGAATCGCACTATTTACATAATATCACCGCACCTTATACAATCTACATGGTAACTCTGTTAGAAAATGAGTAGAAAAGATATAAACCATATTAAATAAATATTCACTTTATCAGGAGTTTACGGACAAGAGGAAAGTTCACCAGAGGAGGAGAAGGACCAATGTAAGAAAGGATACGTTGCGAAGGGTGCTGATTGTGTGTGCGACGACGGATACCATCTGAGCTTGGGAACATGTGTCAAGACAATAGCCTTCTTCATATTCGTTTCGGTGTGTGTGATAGTTGTGGCACTGCTGGTGATCTCTGGTCTTATAATGCATCACGAGAGGAAGAGAGGTGGAATTGAGAATCTTATGCCACCAAATTGACCGGTTAAAACGGAGAATCGCTGTCTAGTGTGAGGAAATATGAGCTGAAGGTGGATGGTGAGATTAACAGTTAAGGTTTACTACAAGTGATGAAAGATATGGATAGTATTGTAGGAGACATTTGTCGTGGTATGCTGGAATCAGTGATGTTAGTGATATCTTCTAATTTGGATAGTGATAAGTGAGTAAGGAAATGCTCTGTCCGTGGCTGAAAACTAGTGTTTGTGATCTTGAAGCTGAATCTTGTACAATTCCTCTTAAGAAGGGTGCATGTGTTGATGAGATGACAACTCAAAAACTATCTGATTAAAAACACTCAATAATCTGCAGGGAAAGATAAGATAAGAGAAACAAATGTTGCATAATGTTGAAGTCATTAAGGAGCACTATCAAAACTCAAATACCTCAAATACCTCACATACGTATACCTCAAATACCCCACATGATACGTATACCTCAAATACCTCAAATACCTCACATACGTATACCTCAAATACCTCACATACGTATATATAACTTAAATACCTCAATATACAAGGTTTTAGTTCGAAACATTTTGTATCTGTTTCTTTGAAATGTTGACGGTTAATATTGCTGATACTGCTATGAATCAAAGCATTTCGAAGAGTTTTCGATAAAACATCATAATATCTTATCGAACTTCAGGTTAAGATAAATACATTATTAATATTGACAATTGCTTTAGTTTAATTGCTATAGTATGAAACTTGAAGTAGAACTTGCCATTTGAACTTTGTTTCATTTGTTCTATATTATTAATATTGTGTACATATTACATTTTAATAAATGAAGGGATCTTGGGATGGATTTTTATATTGAATATAAGTAATACATGCGTGATATAACTATATAACGTATTTTTACTTCTTAGAGAATAAATGTGTAAGTTCGAAATATATGAGTAAAGTTTCTTGAAAAGCTCGGCATTTCACTGGTCGATCATAGATCATAGATAGCTAACTAAAAAATCATACCAATGAGAGTAAATGACGGTTTTTATTAATACCAAGATGAACAATGAATGGAATGTTTTTGTGCTAAAAATTCCACTTATTACTGAACAAATACTGCAAGCCTCGGCCGCCTTGACGAATTATATAACTTTCAATATAGAAAATAATTATCTATGCTGATGCTTCGGTTTGTTGACTTTCTTTAAACTTTTAAAACAGTGGACTATTTCAGTAAAAGTGAGTAATTGATCAGAAATGTCTACCTTACTCGGGATTATTACGACGGGTTTATTAACGACCGGTTAAAATATGGTTCGGGAAAATATGGCGAAATTGCTCAAAACCCACCACATTTTCCCGGTCGCCATTTTACCGGTGTCCAACCTTTCAATTTTAGATTCAAAAATTTTGTCTCAGATGTAAATTTCCTTATTAGAGATAAGCAAGTTTTATTTAGAAATTTTTTATTTAGAAATTTTTTATTTCGAAATTTTCGCATTGTTAAAACTTGTGAAACAAGTCGAATTATCAATAATTGTTGAACGTAGACAGAAATAATGACTCGTGGTTAATCAAACTATATGGAAAATAATTTTTAACATTTGAAGCGTAACAACCAGATCGATATTAAGATAAAGGGAGAGCTGTTTAGTCTTCCAATAAGTTGTAATCATCTTCGTTATCTTCATCTGGATTATCCCTTTCATCAGTTTTAATTAATTCAAGTTTTAATTTAACTGTTACTTTTACTTTGAGTCCTATTTCATTATGTAGAGATAGTCAATACCTAAGAAATTAAAAATTGGCCTACCTTACAAGACTTTTTCATAACGTACGAAATGCGACGGTTTTCCCGAAATTTCGCCATATTTTCGGACCGCCAAAATTTCGGTCGTCGTAATAGAATCCGTCGCATTATTTTTAGCTTATTCCAATTAGTGTGGCTTCATCGATTCATTTTGTTCTTGAAAAGTTAGTGATATGATGGTGGGACAAATAAACACAATATTCCATGATGAATTTAATGTCAAGTAATACCTTTTAAATTTACAATAAATTACATTTATGTGCTAACATAAACGTCTTATAAGAGACTAAGTCAAGATAAACAATTTAATACCAAACTCAATAAGTGAAACTGAAAGAGTCGAGCCGGACCCCTTAGAGGAAGATGAAGAAATCGATTTATAAGTTTCATTTTGTTTCAACATGATTTTACCGATTTTTAGAAAATTTTGAATTTCCTTTGTGTCAGAAAACAAAATGATGAAAAACACCCTTATTTTCTGTGACGTCCGAAATGTGACGGTTTTTGTTCAATTTCGCCATATTTTCGGACCGCCAAGGTATTTAAATCAAATTTGACAATAAGGATATATGACAAGAATTGGGCAAAAAGGTGAATTTTTTGCAATTTTAGCCAAATGAAGTCGAAAAACCTACAACAAGTGTCCCAATAGTCTTCTTTAGTGAATATAAGACAACGATTAAAATATGAGCACCCATACCCCTTGGGAACCCTAAAAGCTGAGTAGGCGGGTTTATTAACGACCGGTGAAAATGTGGTTCGGGAAAAATATGGCGAAATTACCCTAAACCCACCACTTAATCCCGGTCATAATAATCCCGAGTAAGGTAATACGCAGTAAATTATAATACCGCGATTTACCGCGCCCTGATTTACACGGCTGTTTGTTCGCAGGATTACAATAAGACTATTGTACAGGAAATCGTGAGTCATCTGCAGTCGATGAGATTATGGCCAACACTATCGGAGATTAAATTAATGGAATTCAATTCTGGTACAAAAGAGCAGAGAATGTCAGACAATCAATGTGTCTAGATGACATGCCGCACAACCTAAAACGGTTTTCCTTAGAAAGTATAATATGTGCTATCATATATTCTTTACTCCTTTAGTCTTTGGTGTTCGTCGTCTTCCCGTGATTTTGCACTGTTTATATTAGTCTTAATACTTGTGGGAAGCAGGGAAGTATCAACACTTTGATTTAAGAAAAGTTAAAAGAAGCTCATAATATCATTATTTATCGTTTGTTACCTTTTCCAATTCCATCATTGCTGAATAGTTGATTTCTATTTTCTATCACCGCAATCAAAATATCACAGCCATGCAGCCTTCTTTAACGATACTTCTAGTGGCGATCTTAAATCTACAGATCTTAACAACAGGTACGATTAACGGAAAAAGGTGAAAAGAAAGCTTGTTTGTGGTGCCACACAGATTCAAGTTGTGATTATCAGCCAAATTATCCAAATAGCCATCACTTTTTCGAGAAGATGAGTTTAAAGGATTTAAACAAATCATCTCAGGAGTTTTTGGACAGACGGCAGCATCGCCAGAGACGCAACACGTCTCTTGCAAGAATGGACGAGTACACATTAACGGCACTGCTTGTATCTGCAACACCGGCTACACTCTCAGCCTAGGAAAATGTTTCAAAACAGTCTACTTCACTTGTTACTTCACAGTTGGGGTGATCATCGTGGTTTTTGTCCTGGTCTCCGGTTACATAATGCACCAAGAAGGAAGAAATGTAGGTCAGTCAGAAAAGACGGAATATAAGATAATGATGCGGTTCAGTTTGGCCAACAAGGGCGCATCAGGGGACGATGGTAGTCTTGAGGGGGGCAAGTTACCGCTTCCCAGCCAGTCCACAAGTAATGCCCTCTTACTGCTCAGCAATGCTGTGTCAAGTGGAAACCTCCTTGATATTAAGTAAACATTTTGGTGAGGTGTTTTGTGCCCCTCTTCGGGTAAATGGTCTGTAACAAAACTGTTTTGATGTTAAAAGAAAAGAATTTTTCTCTACAGAGACTATTACAGTATTACAGTATATACTTCTTTCGGACAGCAGCGTGATTAGTCAAAGACAATCTTATAAACTTGTCGGTGGACTCTCACTCACTCTCTTAGACGAGAAACAATATATCAGTGTGAGTAAGTAAGGAACAATAGCTACTATATACCGGTCTGGGAAGTATCCAAGTAACCCGATATGTGTTCCCGAACACCTGTAGGGTTACTTGGATAGTTGGATACTGCCCCGGTCTGTAATAGATCTAGATAATAGCGGAGAGATGATCTAAATATAACACGTGACAGCGATTAACCAATCAGCCTCCAATATTGACCAATCAGCTTGTACAATGTACAATGTATAATGTACAATGTATAATGTACACCAGCAGCGTGATCAGTCAAAGACAATCTTATAAACTTGGAAACCAATCAGCTTCCACTATTGACCAATCAGCTTCCACTATTGACCGATCAGCTTCCACTATTGACCAATCAGCTTCCACTATTGACCGATCAGCTTCCACTATTGACCAATCAAAACCCAGAATAACAGTCACATGTCCAACATATAAAGGCAGCAACAAGTCACAGATATTGGAGCTTGAATTTTTGTCGCAAAATATGGGGAATTTTAGTCAGGCTAATCTGTATACACCGTTACATCACACGATTGTTCAATTTAAAACAACAAAGAACATCGTAGGACAATGTTCCACATTACTAGATCTATATAATTATAGTTTCCTGAAAATTCAAGATATTTCCCAGAATTACTGTAATCTTACAACAACTTGCGTTCCAGTACCACTGTCACATTAGGGCTCAGGCCCAAGCTTAAATTGTTGCCAACTACAATATTATCTTTAATTATGACTAAAGTGACTCGATTTGAATGTGTTGCGGATCAGTGACGTGTGGTCAACATTGAAAAGTTTGCAGCCACGATTCACCCGGCCTCTCCTGTTTGTAGTTGTTATGTTAGTTGCCCTCAGCTCATCACAAGACAATATTGATAATAGTGAGGTATCTGGTGAAAATTGGTGAAAATAATTTTATGTGTGTTTCTCATTCTTTTTTATTTAACTTCTTTTTATTGACAAATCAGCACTTCTCTTGATCAGTATAAGAATGTTTGAGGAAAGAATGATCAGTATTCGATCTTTGTAATCTTCCAAGTGTAATCACAGAAACAAATATACAAATTTATTCTTCGTCTTGAGAGTTGAGACACATTTTATGAACACATATTTCCTCGCTGCATATTCTCACAATGCACCTCAAATGACGTACTATGAACACATATTTCCTCGCTGCATATTCTCACAATGTACCTCAAATGACGTACTATGGACACATATTTCCTCGCTGCATATTTTCATAATGCACCTCAAATGAAGTACTATGGACACATATTTCCTCGCTGCATATTTTCACAATGCACCTCAAATCAAATACTATGGGTGACACGGGAGATGATTTTATGGAGTGCATGATATTTATCAACTACAAGATCTTATTGTACATATCTTATCCAAATATTTACAATGAACTCATCTTAATTTGATAACAAAAGGTTTATGCGACAAGCTCCATATCACGAGAGTCTAGGCTTATTGCTGGTACTTTAAAAATACCGCCTCCATGTCGACCTTTAATCCATGATGACAAATAAGTACGATTACATACCCTTTATCAAAGATCAGGTCCACAATTTTTGTATCCACACCAAACATACAAACTATGTATTTCAAATAAACAAAAAACTGTAATATAAGTTTAAAGAAGTAATTATATCTCATTACAATGTACAATGTACAATGTACAATGAACAATGTACAATGTACAATGAACAATGTACAATGTACAATGTACAATGTACAATATACAGTGTAAAATATACAATGTACAATGTATAATGTACAATGTACAATGTACAATATACAATATACAATGTAAAATATATAATGTATAATGGAACGAACCTACGAGTTCCCGGAGGAGTTTGTGTTTGAACTCGGGAGAGGAGACCTGGACAAACTGCACAAAAGGGAAGGTGTTCACCACCTTGGCTAGCTCATCGTCCAACACTTGGTCAAACAGGACAATGTCTGTCAGATCTTTGTAGACCAGCAGCAGCTCACTTTCTGAAATAGTACAAGGATAGAACCGTGGAGTGGCTAAATAAATCAATAAATCAATCAAAATTAATCGTATCGAACATTCATAAAAATGCCATTAGATTCTTTTTTAAATTCATGGCGCTGCGTAGATCATCACCTAAATGTAAAGTAACGTGTGAAGTAACGTGTAAAGTCACGTGACACTGTATACCTGATATGACGGATGAAGTAGATAGCTTCTTGATCTTTTTAACCAAGCCGTCAACAGACTTCTCCTTTTTCAGCGGATACTTCTTGTTGATCATGACTGGGTCGTCTGGAACGTGTACAATCAGCATGTTCTCGTTCCTGAAACACACACGTGACGTCATTGTAAAATTAGGGTAATTTTAGCACAAAAGTTTTAATTTTATGGGCAATTAGGAACATTCGTCACTGTTATCAGTTCTTGGGGGATAGGAACGTGGGTTTGCTTGATTTCCTGTGTCGATGTTTTATTAATTTTATTTCCACCAGAGGCTGAAGGCTCTACAATGGAATTGTTAGAAATCAAAGTTTCTCTAATCGCCATTGTTACACTGAACTCACGCCCATTGTTACTGAACTAAGGCATGGTAATCACAACCATTGTTACTGTACGATGTATTAGTTATTTAACTAGTTTTAATTGCTAAATTAAGTAATTGATCCTGCTTCTTTTGTAATTGTTGATGGTCCAGACTATAAACAACAAAAGAAGCGTCAACGTTCCCCTAATTATCAAATTAGGGGGACCTACTCCTCTCCAAGTATTTCCAATTTCCTTTAGTTTCTCCCTCTTAATCCCCATAAAACCATCAAACAACTGAGGTCTACCATTCGAATGATAAGATTCGTTTAAGCAACTGATTGCTAAATAAGAATGCTCTTTGATATCAAATTTTGGCGGCCATATTAACTTGTTCCGTATTAATTTTCGTAGTTTTAATGGTTCGTATTTAGACCTGCTCTGAATCTCATGGACCAGGGACCTGTGACAAGTTCCTAGCGCTTGAAAAAGATAGAACAGAAAACTACTTGATTATGGCTGTGGTTTGTGGCACATTATGATTATTGATTATTTTATTCTGAATGTCTTGACCCTACATTCAAGCAGAAAATCAGAGAATGTCAATGCTTCGGCTAGCGTTCTTTTCGATAATTGTCCCTTCGCTAGCTCTCTGTGGTAAGTGACTTTTTACCGCAAAGTACTCAACTAATATTTATTTCGTACGATGCGTTTTAACAGTATTCATTAAAATCAGTAAACCACATCCGTATTCGTCTGAGCAAATATATTCAGCCGACACGAATTTCATGACCATCAGCACCGTATTTCAGAAGAAGGCAGTGAGGAATCAGAAGAATGGGTTTGTCACGGCTGGACTGATGCGGACAATAAATGGCGGACAGATAATGGCGCTGACAAAGCTGCAGCGTGCAACAGGTCAGACATTCAGGTCACGTACAGGTCACGTACAGGTCACGTACAGGTCATGTACAGGTCACGTGGCAACAAGCCAAACATTCCTTCTTAAGTTCTTGAACCTAGATTGAAGATCAGACGTATAGCAATAATGATTTCACAACTGAAAATGAATGCAAATATTGGGGATGTTACAGAAGGAATGTATTTAATGTACATATTAAATATAAATATGTATATTTAATTTATTTAATGAAGTCCTTATTCTCTGAGCGTCCAACAGTATCTCTAATCTGTGAATAGAGAATATAATTAACGATTCCCGTTTAAATAAATAAAATAGTTGATGGGATGAATATAATTTAGGCTGGTGGGTGGACGATGGACAGGAGGAAGCAATGAAAATACACCAGGATGTGGAAACTGTGGATGCTGCCAAGATCTTTTATCAGGTTTATTAGCTTATTGGATATATTGCGTCAACAATATTATCTCAAATGTTTCAACGTTAAGTATGGAAGTATTAATGTTGTTAAAGATGTTAAAGACAAATATGCAGGCTAACCAGATAGCAATAATTGTATGATTTCTGAACTTGATAATTCAAATAATTTGCAACATTGCACTGCAAATATAACTGTAGGTTGGGGTAGGTTTCTTAATTTTTGCCGCGAATCTTGGTAATTTTGCTGGTCTAAATGTGATTCTTCTTGATGATATTGATAACGGTATATTACTAGGTAGTACTTGTGGTGTTGAATTCGCGATCGGTAATAATGTTACTTTAGAAGCAGGCCAACCAATCCCTACACTTCCAATAAACTTATCTACTAACTAGCTTTAAGTATTTAATGATACTCATTAAAAACTATAGAACAAGAACATTATTAAGTTGCAATCTTAAGAATTTCAATTTCATTGGCTAGAAACATAACACGCGACACAAACGATAAATTCTCATTGGTTGGGCATCCCAATAGGTATAATAATTAGAGTTGCTTGGAGGATATTTCTGGACAAGTGCCAAAGTTTGTACCAGTCTTTAGTGGATCCATTTTGAGGGGTGAGGGGGAAAGGAGAGGGAGGGGTTCGATGAGAGGTAAGGGGGAGTTAGTTTCTTGCATCTCGTGACTAGTTTGAATATTTGAAAGCATTTAAAACGGTTCTCTTGGGAAATAACAGTATCTTTGAACCAATGATCAGCAAGATCATTTTAGTATATCACTACGTTTTAGTACTGTTAGTAGTTGAAGTTTACCCTATAACTAACTCAGATAAAGGTTGATATAGAGATTTAAAATGGATCATTAAATATATAATATGTGTAAACCAAACGAATAAGTGATTTTGAATTGTATTGCTCTTTAGGGGTAGGGCAGCTGATACAAAAATGGACTCTCATAATATACTCTACATAATAAAAATTAAAAAACGTTTTGGAGTCCGACGATAACTTGATTTTACCTAAGGAACTGCAAAATCTTTCTGTACCACTGTTAAATGACTGTCGCCGTCAATATAAAAACTATAAATAACTAAGACAACAACAAAATAACACACTATACACCAATCAGATTGGGTAGCAGTAAGTTCCCTCCACCGCGTGACCCACAACATCCAGATAACCCCTCTCGAGATAAAAACTGACAGCACTGTCGGCAGCGTGGATTCAATCGAACTGTGGTTCTACGACCAGTACAACATGTTTTCTGGGGGTATCGGAATTTTCCTTGGTTCTACTCCCCAGTATTCTATCTCTTTCTGCACGGAGAACCCCGTGAACCTACCTATCAGTCTTCCAGAAGTTTCGGGAAGAGTATGGAGAATATCCAAAACACCAGGTTATAGTTTGTTTATTCAAATTAAATTTGACTTTGTAATATTTAAAGCTGTCACATCCAATAAATTCGATAAGTTAGATACATACACGCAGAAATAACAGCTCAGAACTTCCACAAAAAAGGGACACCTGAGCTGCGTTTTAATCACTTGATCAGATGATAGCCACGTGATCAAATGATAGCCATGTGATCAATTGAAAGCCACATGATCTGATGATAGCCACGTGATCTGATGATAGCCACGTGATCTGGTGATAGCCACGTGATCAGGTGATATTCACGTGATCTGATGATAGCCACGTGATCTGGTGATAGCCACGTGATCAAATGATAGCCACGTGATCTGATGATAGCCACGTGATCAAATGATAGCCACGTGATCAGGTGATAGCCACGTGATCAAATGATAGCCACGTGATCTGATGATAGCCACGTGATCAAATGATAGCCACGTGATCTGATGATAGCCACGTGATCAAATGATAGCCACGTGGTCAAATGATAGCCACGTGATTAGATGATAGCCACGTGTTCAAATGATAGCCACGTGATTAGGTGATAGCCACGTGGTCAAATGATAGCCACGTGGTCTGATGATAGCCACGTGATCAAATGATAGCCACGTGGTCTGATGATAGCCACGTGATCTGATGCTAGCCACGTGATTAGGTGATAGCCACGTGATCAAATGATAGCCACGTGATCTGATGATAGCCACGTGATCAAATGATAGCCACGTGATCTGATGATAGCCACGTGATCAAATGATAGCCACGTGGTACTAACCTCGCATCGAAACAGGTCCTCGTTAACACTGTAACGAGGTGTTGGTGCTGAGTGTCTTAGTAGACTCGTCCCTGTGTCACGTGACCTCCTGGAACTCAGTTTGGAGCAAGGAGACTGTGATGTTCAAGTTTGCTGCTGGAGACACTGCTTCTGATTACTTCCGTGGATATCAGCCTCCTCCTCCTCAACCAGGTATACAGTCATTTAAACTGTATGTGATTTGCTCCGAGGATTAATTGAATCTTTTACCACAAAATTTTAAATTTTAATCGAACTTAGATAATATGTTTATATCATATACAGTCGTATATTGGTGGAATTTTACTTTGTACTTGTAGTATGTAGCCTGTTTGTGCAAAGCTAGAATTTCAATGATATAAGTACGATCCATAACCAGTGAAATAGACAAAAAATCAATTTTAATTCCGGTTTACTGTAACACTAAAGATTCCACCGACAGAAGAGTGCGACAGCCTGAAGACAACATGGATCAAAATGTCAGCAGATAAGCAGTTTCCAGTGGTTAAATCAACAGTGCTGTCTCTCAGTTGTGAGGAAGGGTACGAACTTGTGGGGGATAAGGAGGTCACGTGTGAGAAGGATACCGAGTTTAGTTTCACTGATGAGCCACTCTGTGCAGGTATTTAGTGGTTTATGTTTTTATAATCTTGACTGATTTGAGGAATCCCCGTATGATATAATGAGTATTGATACAACAACTTTTTAAATAAGCCTATTAAGAATGTATTCGAAGTAAATTTTACATGAACGATTACCCCCATGTTTGGTTCTAGAGCGTCTATAAATTTGTGTATTGATTTTCGATTTAATTTCAGAAATTTGTGGTGGTAATTCTGTCAGATCTGGAGATTCTCTTTGTACACCTTGTGGAACAGGAGAAGTAGCAAACAGCGAGAAAACAGCATGTGGTACCCCTGATCCTAATATTTTTAATTGCTAAAGAAGGCCTTCAAGATATTGTAAAATTCTTATATTTTATTCTTATATTTGATTATGTTACTGGAAAAAAAGGTTAATTCTATACAATTTCTGAAATATTTCATTTCAGCTGCATGTTCAGCCGGCACTTACAGAGCAACTAACAATACAACATGTGAACCATGTGAAGGGAACAACATCAGTTCTGAGGGAGCTACTTCCTGTACACCGTGCGTTCCTGGAAGAGCGGCAAACACTCTTAAAACTGTTTGTGGTAAGTGCTCAGTTCAATGACCTTATAAGGTTCTTACTAGCTAGGCGGAAATTTAACAACTAAG